TGTTGGCTAGAGTAGATCTCTCATTGGACCTGGAGCCCACCACGTTGGCTAGAGTAGCTGACACTGAGCTCCTGGCATCCACCTGTGTTTACTACCCCTCCCCACCCCCCAGTGCTGGGGTTACAGGCACATACCATGCCAGTCTTTTACATGCTCTGGGGATATGAACACAGGTCCTCATACTTGCAAAGAACTGAGCCATCTTCTTTTTTGTTTTTCCAAGACATGGTTTCTCTGTGTTGTAGCTTTGGAGCCTATCCTGGAACTCACTCTGTAGACCAGGCTGGCCTCTAACTTACAGAGAGATCTGCCTGCCTCTGCCTCCAAAGTGCTAGGATTCAAGGTGTGTGCCACTACTGCCTGGCTGAGCCATCTTCTTGAATACAAATATTTTATTTATATTAAGATTGATTGATTGATTTAGAGACGGGATCTCGAGTAACTCAGGCTGGCCTGGAAGGCACTACGTAGTTTAGGATGACCTCTGAACTTTTGAACCTTCTGAGTGCTGGGATTACAGGTGTGTGTCACCCTGCCTGACTTTAGACAGTACTGAAGATAGGTGTAGAAGGCCGCAACCACACTCTCCACCATAGATGGCGCTGCACCGCCAGGTGAGCTAGAAAGCTCACACGTGTTGGTATTTTTCCACTACTCCCAAGGTATCACCTGGGACTGGGAGCAGTTGACCAATCCAAGAATGACACGTTCCGAAGCAGGGTCTGTTTCCTATATAAGGGATGGGTTCCATCTTATCTGGGTCTCCGCCATGTGGCTTATGCTCTAGCTCCCAAGAGACATAAAGCTTTTCTGCAGAAGGATCCTATGTGTACCGCGTGGTTCTTGCTGGCGAGACAGAAGCGCGGGACATCTGGTGCCATACCCGGGAAGAAGAAGAAGAACTTTGCACCGCCGGAGACCCCTTGGACACAAGGAGGATTCAGAACTGCAGGCATGCGTGCTTAGAGAGGTACGCTCTAAAGTCCAGAGAGCATATCAGAAACTGAGCAGCAGTGGGAGGTTGTGCGCGCACCCAGATAAGTTAAAAAATGACCCTCCGGTAAAGAATGGGGGAGACAGAAAAGAAAATAAATTAAAAAGGACCCCCCAGTGATTCTAGAAAGCAAAAATGGGGGAGAAGGCTGATTTACAAGGTCAAAAGCTTTATGTTATGTTATGTGTGTTGTCTTTTGTGTACCGGATAGGAGAAAGATATTCAAATTTAGAAACTGCTAAGGATATGATGTTTTGGAAAAGAGGTTCTGTTTTCGTCTCCACAGAAAAGGAGAGCCTAAGGGTGTACTTGGGATTTACGTGGTTTGAATCACCGAGACCTCCTGAAATGTTGTAGTGTATACCCCTGAAATTCAGCGGCCCAATTTCAGCAGGAAGCAGCCAAAGAGACTAAACGACGCCCAAATTCCCTAAAAGATTAAATGAGGTCCTTTCAAGCCTGCTTCTCTGAGTTCAGCTTTGCTCCATGCACTGGTTTGGGCGCGGAATGGGTGCAGCTGGGGCTGGAGGGCGGCTGGAGCGGAGCTTTGCTCTGTGGCTATGGTGGGGAGCACGTTGCGCCGGCTCAATTGGTGCGGCTCGGTTGGTGCCTGGCCTGGAGGATGTCACAGCGGTGCCACAGGCAGCCGGGCCAAAAGGCTTACAATGTACCTAAAACTGTGCGGGTCTCTGAGGCTAAAATGACTCTGGTTCCATTTGGCTAAGCTAAATGATGCTGACTTCAGGCAGGGCTGGTCGTATTTATCATAATAAAAGCGCAATTAAGGTTTAGACGCAGTAAACAGGCAGTACCGTATTACATCTACATAGTGCAACTTAAGTTTTTAAGAACTGCTTAGCATTTTAAGAACTCAAGTCTTCCTGAAAGATTGCTATGTATACGCTTGGCTTGTCTGATGTTTCAGGATCCACAGGGAGATGGATGCGAAGGGCCCTTGGATTTTGGGGTGATTGGGTCGTTGCCTACCCACTGCTCGTTAAAAGTTTACAGCTATGGGGTCTTCAAATAGCCGCTGAGAAGGTCCAGATTGCAGATACTGGCCAATTTTTAGGTTCTGTTATTCTTCCTGAAAAGATTTTGCCTCAAAAAATAAAAATTTATAGGAATGATTTGCGAACGTTAAATGATTTCCAAAAGTTGTTAGGAGATATTAATTGGCTGCGACCGTTTTTAAAAATCCCCTCTGCTGATTTGAAGCCATTGTTTGATATCTTGGAAGGGGATACTCATATTACTTCCCCTCGGGCCTTGACGCCGGCAGCAGAGGCAGCCTTGTTGCTAGTGGAGGAATCCATTAAGGAGGCACAGCTGTGCCGTATTGATGAGACTCAACCATTTGCTCTATGCGTGTTTAAAACAAGAAAGCTACCCACCGCTGTGCTATGGCAGGACGGACCGTTACTGTGGATCCATCCGCATGCTTCTCCTAACAAAAGTATTGAGTGGTATCCCGCTGCTATAGCTCAAATTGCCCTTAAAGGCCTTAAAATGTCTGTTAGTCATTTTGGCAAGCACCCAGAGGTTATGATAATTCCCTATACCTCCTCTCAGGTACAAACTTTGGCCGCTGCCTCTGACGATTGGGCCATTTTGGTTACCATCTTTTCAGGGAAAATTGATAATCATTATCCTAAACATCCTCTACTGCAGTTCGCTGCATCACAGCGCTGGCTACCCTGGAATAGGGAGCCTCTTCTGATATGTGGTTATCTATGTTAAAGCAGTAAGGTTTAAGCCAACCAGCTCCTGCACCCCTAGGACTGTGGTCCATGGCACAGGGTGGAGTGCTTGGCTTAGCTAGCCCTGAAGGTTGTGGAGCTGAAAAGCATCGCACAGAGAATGGCCCTCTCTGAGAGATAAGTCGCTCTGCATAAGGGTTTCCTGCCGTATATTTCCCTTTCCCAGAAAAATTGGCAGAGGGCAGGCCGGATAGGTTCCAGGTGTCATGAACCTAGGGACAGATTCCGTGTAAGCCCATTTTAATGTTTTCATTTTGGGAAGTGCGACCTCTATCTTTACCTTTTGAGGGAGTTGCCTTTCTGCAAAGAAGTAAAATTAGGGGGAGATGTAGAAGGCCGCAACCACACTCTCCACCATAGATGGCGCTGCACCG